ATATAAAGAGTAAGCAAAGCAGTTTATGAGTCAGATTCAAGAAAAACAAGGAAAGAAATGAAAATCCTTGTAAAAACACTTCCTGAACATTATAAATTAATAATAAACAAAGTTTTTTTGAATTTTGAAATAAAAAAAATATTAGCCAGGCTAATATCCAAATTATTGAGATTAATAACTTCACAATTTAATCCCTTATAAAGACAACTACATAACTGGTTGAATGCTTTATATCATTACTAAAGAGGAAAGTACTTAAAATTATAAACAGGAAAATTAAAAGCAAATAATAAGCATTTGCATGTAAATAGTCAGTTAAATGAGATAAGAACATTAGACTTATACTGTATATATTATTTTACATGTATTAATTTTTAATGAATAATAAAGAAAAAAGTATAAATAATTAAAAATATACAATTATTAATTAGTAAAAAGTCTAAAGAAATTGTAAAATATTGAAATAAATTGCTTAATGTTTTTAAAAAAACAAAGATTCATTTACTTGAAAAAAGTGAAACTAATTTAGAAAGCCATAAAAGAAAAATAGTCATATATAATTATAGTTAACATTCTCATGAAATATTTAAATATTATTAAGGTCAAATATTTGTTTGTTAAATATTTATATATTGAATATTTATTTATTATATAGTTGATTAACTTGCTAAGAAGAGTTTTAAATAAATATTCAAAGTCAATTCAATATATAAAAATAACTTGTAAGAGAAATTATAAGACTGTAACTTATTATAATATAATACTATTTAGAAATTTGCTGAATTGAACTTATTATTTGAACAAAAAAGTTGAAGAATCAGTAAAAAAATATAAAAAACAAAAGGTTACTAAAGAATTATTAATATATTCAAAAAAGTATTAAACTAAAGAAAATATAATAATAGATAAGATCAGGAAGGCAATTACTAAAGCAAAATTAGTAAAAGATACAAAAATTGATAAGAAAAAAATAATTGGAAAAAAGGAAAAAAAAAAGAATACAAAATAAATTTCGAAAATTATCCAAAATAAGATTAATTAAGAAAAAAGAAAAAGAAGTGGAAGAAAAAAAGAAGAAATGGAAGGAAAAAAAGAAGAAGCAGAAGATAATAAATAATTTAGTTTATATGAGCAATTTTTTGTCATATTTAAATTATTATTTTATTATTATATTTTAATAAATTTTTTATTAATTATAATTATAAATAATAATGAAATTAAATGTTAAAAATATATACAGTATATGAAAATTTATTAAATTTTAAACTTATATTAATTTATATATTAAATAATTGTATTTTATTTATTAATTTATTGTCAAATATTATATTAATTTTATGTTAAATAACATTAAATAATATAAATTTAACTTGAGTTTAATTATAAAAATTTATATAATTTAGTAATAGTTTGATATATCAAATAATTAAATTTTAATTAATATAAAACTATATAATTGGATTAAGAGATAAATAGTATTAGTTAATACTTAAATAAATTATTTATATAGCTATAACATATAATTCTTATTGATTAATAAAAACTGTATATGGTTATATTTAGTTTTAAAAAAAAAAACAAATTTAAAATAACTATAATAATAAGCTATAAGTAATAATTTTTAATTTTTATAATTATATCTAAAGATATAATTTAAGACAAATATTTAAGGCAATAAAATAGTTTATATAATATAATATATTTTATATTATTTGTTTTTTATAAAAATTAATAAACTATATATAGTATACTTGTATAATTACAAAAAAAAAAATTTAAAATCTTAAATAAATTTATAAATTGAGATTTTACAATTTATAAAATTATCCAATTTTTTAATAAAAAACTTTCTTATATTTAATCAAAAATAATAAGTTTATATAAAAATAGTTTTAATATGTAAAGATTGTTTGTTTAATGTAATGACCGTTAACGAAAGTTTAAATAAAGTCTCGCATTTAATGCCTGTTAGCAAAAAAAAAAAAATCAAAATCAAAATCAAAATAGTTTTAAGTTTTTTTTTTAATTTGACCAAATTTAGGACAATTTGTGTATATATACTGTATATGGATATATGTAATTTGTTTCACAGATAAAAAAAATTCTTATAGAATTACACAAAGGTAAATTCACTTCTCGATAAGTCGCCAGTTACACATCGTGTCACAGTCGCACTGAAAGAAAAACGTTTGATTTCAACTGATTATGAATATTAAAGCAGAAGGAACAATGATTAAATGTCGGGGTCGATTGAAGGAAGTCCTGGTGTCATGGATGGATGACGCGAGTTTTGATTATGTATGTACACGTTGTACATTGGCATTCTAAAAAAATCAAAAAAAACTTAAATTATATTAAAACGACCGTAAATATACATACAGTGTGTGTACATTTATGTACGCTACAGTTGTTTTGTACAAAATTTTCTGTGCACACAAATTCACTGATTTAATAGTCATCATGACCCCCCAAAAGGAATTCATCCTCTCTGTTCTTTAGCGAGGACTTGTGAACATACGGATTTACGAAAATTCGAGCATTTGTTTTTTTTATTATTTCAATTTATGAATGCTTAGTTTTTGTTTGTAAGATTGGTATTTTATGAAAAAAAAGGAAATATGAAACGCAGCACTAGCACCATAAATTATTATTCACTGGGATTCTTGGCGTTGTGCATCTTTCTGGTTCGACCTGTGATATCGGACTGTTTAAACTCTTACGATCCTAATGTGGACTATTTTCCAGATAAAGTTGGTAAGAAAAATAGAAAAGATGTTATTGCCGACCTTCCAGATAGATTTTTATTTATTTATTTATTGCATTTCTGTAGGTAATCGTTCGGGATTCGTAGTATCTTACTACAACTCTTACAAAATTGTTACCAATACTCGTGTTGGAGAAACCTATGTTCTTTACTGCACCGCCAACCCACCAAACCTAACCTATGCACATTACATCAAAGGCTACTTCCAAATACCGGTGAAGAATGTGGCGAGTTTGGACCAGACAACTCTAACATTTTTAGAAGTAAGTTTCTTTCCTGTTTTGTCACATGATTTATAATACGTATGTATGTACGAGATGTAAACTGGTCTTTTTATTTATTTTAAAAGATCATTGGCGCTCAATCTTCACTACGCTATGTCGGAAAAAAAGAAAGTATTACGTCACCATGTCTACAAGAAGATACCACAATACAGTCGTTTGACAACTCAAGCGTTGCGAATGTTGATATTGTATTTTCCTCTAATATCGCTTCAACATATGAAAACAAGTCCGTAATCGTTTCTATGGGTGATGACCTGTCACCATTATCGGTAACCTTTTCATCCTTTTGAATCAAGTTCTCAGACATTAAGAATCAATCATCTTTCTGAATCAGCGACTTTTGATGTATTTTTTAGAACGCAGAATGGGTTAAATTTGTTTCGATCTTCTTTAATCTCGAAAAGTCGGCAAATGATTTTTACTCTAGTGTCGAAGCAGCATATTCTTGCAATATGAATAATGCAGCAAGCATTATTAATAAAAAAACGATTGCTTGGGTGGCATATGATTTCGACAGTGGAATGTATACCGTTGACAATGATAAATATTATTCTTTTTTGGTCAAAGATGCAGGTTTGTAGATGTCTTGTGTCTTTTTGTTTCTGCCAAATTTTTTTCTTTTTCCGTGATGTTTATTCAAGCATTTTATTCTTGAAGGTGCCAATCCACTCAACATCATCACCGGCTCATTAAATGTGAGTGACTTGCACGAAGTCATCAACGATGTTGACATAATCATAGATCAAACAAAATTTACCCCTGGCAATGACTCGTTCGACAATTGGCAACGTCTTTTTGGTTACTACACAACTTCAACTGGCTCACTACCCAATTTCATCACTCATAGACGTGTATTCCGTTCCAAGAAACTTTTAAACGCCAATGGGTTCGATGATTGGAGTGAGAGAGCTTATGCCCGTCCTGATATCTTCATACTCGATCTGATTGCAATTCAATACCCAACATACCTTTCCTCGTACAAAACCACGTGGTTGAACAATTTCTCGGGATCTGATGAACCCACCGTGATCACCAGCGCGAACTGCACTGATGCCACCCAAAGTTCAGTGGTACTCACCTGTCAATCGCGGGCTTTCACCGGTGACCAGACTAATAGCGATACCGGATCAAACGGGAATACCGTCGGAGACAGTAAATTAAAAACGAGATCCATATTAATCATTGTGTTTAGCGTTCTGGCAGGATTGATGGGAATTGCAGCTGGTGTTTGGTTATTATTACTTGCCAAAAGAAAATATGAAGAAAGGTTCTTCGAGTTGAAGGATGAACCGGAAGTTCAGATGATAAAGGCCGATGCGGAAAACAGCAAAGCTAATGGCAGTAAAGTAGAAAACAAAGTTTAAAGGATATTCACGAGTCACATATGAAGATTTATAGAATGATCGAAAGAGGCCAAGAATTTTTCACTTTTAACGAATCATAAAGCATCTGAAATTTAAGATCAATTTGACTCTTTGTAATATCAGTTCATCGTTGTCAATAGTTGGTTTTTTTTTTTCAAGGTGATCATTAAAATTTCATCTGCTTTTCAAGATAATAAATGAAATAATGTTGCAAAGTCACCAAAATCGAATGTTTCAGTATATATAAAAAAATAGTCGTATTAGAATATCCTTTCTTGAACGGTTATATTAAAATCCTTATTCTTTACAGAAACACCAAGTGAAGTGCACTAAACAAAAAATTTTATCACATACATTTATCCTCAACACATCAATACCCATCGATTATCCTTCGATGGAATTTCTAACCTCCGAATGTTTACTTTTCAAGTGCCTGCTTAGATCGTACTGACGTTTGAATTTGTACTTGCAGCCTTCCACCGTGCATTCAATTTTCCTACCCCGTTCATAACCAAATCCTGTGAGATGCTCCAATTTGCTAACGTGACGATTAATCATATCGTCGGCATCAATTTTTCTGATTTTGTGTGGACGAGGGTTCTTTAGTTTTTTGACGTAAAATTTGAGACAAGACCGTGTTAGATCGTGAGATATACGGTAAAAGGTAAAAAAAGAACAGAGTAATTGATTAAGTAGGCACCCTAACCGTGTGCAAAGACTTGACATGATTGTTGAGAACGTGTTTGTAGGTAAATGACATTC